GTAGGGGGCAAACCACTTTCTTTCCCCTTATCTTTTCTTCCCTTCCCTTTCCTTTTCTTTTCTTTCCTTTTCTCTTTTTTTTCTTCTCTTTCTTTTTCTTTCTCTTCCTTTTCTTTTCTTTTCCTTTCTTTTTTTTTTCTTTTTTTTTTCCGTCTTTTTATATAAGATGTGCATGAGGCGCATGAGGCGTACGCCTCTAGCACGCCTCATGAAAAAAGCCTCTTGCCCTGAGGCGTACGCCTCTGAGGTGTTACCGCCTCTGGCATACGCCTCTGGGCATTTTGAGAGCGCCTCGCCTAGAGGCGCATACGCCTCCCACGCCTTTTAAAACACTATTCCCAAGTAACCTTTGAAGCACTCCCTTGTCGACTAGCAACTCACCATCAATAGCATAAATCTTATGATTTGATCAATAGGGGTAGATACAGGTTTGGCACCAAGTTTCCCTGTTTCAATGAGAAGGCCAACAATATACTTGCATTGGGAAATGAAAATGCCCTCCTTAAACCGAGCAACTTCAATTCCCAAGAAATATGTCAATTCATCCAAGTCCTTAGTTTCAAACTCTGTATTGAGGAAACCTTTAAGGTTGCTCACTTCCTCAATATCACTGTCAGTGACTACAATGTCATCCACATAAACAATAAGAAATGTCCCCAACATGTCTCTTCTCTTAACAAAGAGGGTATGGCTTGACTAAATCTAAGTATAACCAAACTGAATTAATGCATTCTGAAATTGCTCAAACCATGCCCAAGGAGACTGCTTAAGACCATATAAAAGTTTCTTTAGTTTGCATACCTTCCCTTGCATAGAGGTGTAAATCAAGCCGTGTTGGGCCTAGGATTTTAGGTCCACGGGCCGGCAAGGCACGGCACGACCGAGCGGGCCGTGCCGCCCATGGCTCGCGGGCTGGCACAACCCATATATATATTTTATATATATTATAATTATATAATAATATATAGTATATAACATATTAATAAAATAAGTATTTTTTTATTTTTATTATACTAATTTATTTAATTATTGCATATATAAGCAATTTTATACACAAAATTCATATAAAATTAAAATTTTAAGTTTTTTTTTGTCAATTTTTCTAAATAAATAGCGTTGGCCTGATACACGGCCCGACCCGACCCAAGGTTCGTCTCACGGGCCAGCCCGTCCTGTGGCACAGCACGGCACGGGCCCACATGGGCCTGGCCCAACCCCCAAAATTTTCACTGGGGAGGGCGGCACGGCCCGTGATGGCCCACGGGCCAGCACGGCACAGCCCGCAATTTGTGTGGGCCGCCCACAATACACCTCTACCCATGCATCTCTTTCCCATACATCCCAGGAGGGAGAGTATACACTTCTTCATGGAGATCCTCATTCAAAAAGGCATTCTTCATATCAAATTGATAAATGGGGCCAATTAAAACATGCTACTAAGGATAAGAGAACCCGCACTGAAGTCATCTTAGCTATAGGAGCAAAGGTCTCCAAGTAGTCTACTCCATACATCTAGGTGTATCCCTTTGCTACCAAGCAAGCCTTAAATCGCTCAATAGACCCATTGGCATGATATTTGATGGTATAGACCCACTTATATCCAACTAGTTCCTTCCCCTTAGGCAACTCAACAATATCCCACATGTCATTCTTATATAATGCTTCTATTTCAGCTTCCATAGCACCCCTTTATTCTTGTTTGGCTAATGCTACTAAAATGGATTTAGGTCTAGGCTGGGAAGAAACAAAAGCTAGGAAGGAACAATAAGATGGTGAAAGGAGTCCATAGGAAAGGTGTTTAGAGATACATTGGGTTGTACATCTCCTTTTACCCTTCCTTACTACAATAGGAAGGTCTAGGTTTGGAGAAGTGGATGGGGTGACCGAACCCGTTGTCTCTTCAAGAATTTAAAGTGTAGGAGGCTCTGTTATAGTAGTGGGAACAACTTTTTTTTTTGATAAGTAGTAGTGGGAACAACTTGCTCATCCCTGTGCCTTTGCCTTTGGTGCCATCTTTGAATGATATTAGGAGTAATGAAGGTAGGAGGAGGTGGAGGAGGAATAGATGAACTAAGTGTAGAGGATGATTGGACAAAACTGGAAGAAGACTCACCTAAAGTGAGAACTGGGAAAGGAATAGATGAACTAGGGAGGTCAAAAGCTTCAATTGATTGCTCCCCCTGAGGTGGATTATAAAAAGGGATTGACTCGGCAAATGTGACATCCATAAAAACAAAGTGGGTGCCATTAATTAGATCATAACAACAATAACCCTTCTATTTGGAAGCATATCCAAGAAAAATGCACTTTCGAGCCTTGGGTTCAAACTTGTGCCTTCAAGAACTGGGGATATGAACATAGCAAGTGCATCCAAAAACGTGAAGAGGGAGAGAAAAGACAAGGAAAGAAAGCATGAGAAAACACCACTCTTACACAACAACTGTAGCAACAAAAGACTTAGTTGCTACACACAGGTCAATCTTCCACCTCACCAAACTCTTTTTGGCCTCCCTCCTCATCCCAAATTTCTCCCCCTAACGCTCTAGCGACCTTTCTCAAGCTTTCTTCTTTATTGAGTAACAAAGAATGGTAAAAGCATCTCATCACACAACAGCTCCAAGAGCAATGGGTAGGAAGATAACCATTGGGCTGATATACCCAGTACCACTGAAAAAGAACATGAGTTAATAGTTACATATTGGCACCAAATCCTAGCTAAAATATCTGCTAAACTGATGGCAGTCCTAGGGATCCGTCTAAACAAGCAATTCAGATTGGAATATAAGGATTGAACTTCTATTTAACAGGTATCTTAGTCCACAAGGTCCCTTAAATGTAGATAGTGACCAGCTTATATGCAATGTAAATTTAATAGCAATAGGAATGCAAATCAAGGTACACTGAGGATTGGAGACCAAGAGATAACTCAATGTGACCTCTTATATTGCCTTGGTTCAATAATTCATAACAAGGGATAGATTGAGGAGGGATGTCGCCCATAGAATCGGAGTAGGATTGGTGAAATGGAGAGGTTGGAGAAACAACATGATCAGCAATGTTGTGTAGATCAGAGTGTTGGTAGTCAAGAAACAACATGTCCAAAAAATAAGTGTGGCAAAAATGCAAATGCTTAGATGGATGAGTGCAAGAACTAAAATGGGCAGGGCTAGAAATGAAGTCATTTGAAGGAACCTAGGAGTAGCTCTAGTAGGTAATAAAATGAGAGAAGATAGGGGCTAAAAGAGCTAGGAAAAGACATAAAATAACATGGGTTGACCCATTGAAGTAGTAAGAAATGATTTAAGTGCTTATAGTTTAGCAACAGATAAGCAATGAACAGAACAAAATGGCAAAATAGGATTCATGTAGCCAACCCCATATAGTTGGGACAAGGGTTACGTTTTAGACTAAGGGCCTGTTCGTTTGCCCTGAAGTCTGACATCTGAAAGTGCAATAATTACATTAAGAGGTATATTGGTATTGGTGAACTTTTCTTTCCTTTGAACTCTAAATGCAGATAATGTTGTTCTGAATTCTGAAAATTATCAAATATCCATTTTGACCCCATATATGAGAGTTTTTGTTTATCTTTTTGGGGGTACCATCGGAAAACAAAAAGTTGTATGATTGCACTTTAAGAAATAAGAGATAAGAGGAAACGAACAACCATTTTTCTCTTAAAGTTAAAAGATTCCTCTTAAGAGATAAGAGTTAAGAGGAAATGAACAAGCCCTAAGTTTGAACAAACCAAAATGGGAATGCTGACTGAATGCATGTGCCACTTTCCACAGAATCATTTCAAAATGGGAGTTCAAAATCAATGTATGTGCCACTGACAGCAGAGTAAGATAAAAATAAAGTTGTGTACAAAGTAATTACGGAAGGAAGAACTGAGAAGGAACTAATATCATATATTTGAAAGCCCATATTTAGTAGAAAGTGAAGAAGCAAAAGCATAGTAACAAAGAAAAACTTACACTGAAGAACCTATCCCACAGCCTTTCAAAAGGCAATGAACCAGGAGTCAAGAACATGAAGGCAATTTTGGCATTCTTTGTTTCAGGAAAAGTCATCCTTAAAATATCCCTAATGACAACGCGAGAAGCGATCTCATCATCAGTAAGTTCCCTAGAGAGAGAAGGTGGAAGCCATTCGACAAACGACTTGCAACCATTTGAAGAAAACATATAGCAGGCTACAAAGCCTCGTGGTGGATAAACATAAGCGCCAATTAGCAACAAGCTCACCAAAGAGACCAATACAATTATCCACATAGGCCTTTTTAAAGGAGGTCGGTGGCGCGGCACAGTCATTATTTGCAAATCTCCAATGCCTAGCCGCCACGCCTTTGATGCCTTCATTTAGACTAATGACATTATAACTTCAGAACACCTTCCTTATTTCATATAAGTCTAGGCCCACCTTGGAGTAAATATAAGCAGATCACTGTTTTCCAGTCTGCGAAGTCCACAGCTCCAACAAAATACCTTCAGCCAACTAACCTATAAAGGAATCTGAAATTGAAACCAAAAAAGAAAAAGTATTAGAAGTGCAAACATGTAGATTGCACACTTTCAAAAGCTAAATAATTCATTATGAAAGAACAATGCATAGTTGTATTTGTTTGGATTCAAACAAGTGTATGCCATTCTCTTTTTTTTTATAAGTAACAAGTGTAATCCAAGTAATTTCAGCCAGAAAAAAAAAACAGAGTACAAGAGCCTACTTACCCAATGTCATTTGTAAACCTATTGCGAGGAAAAACTTAAAAAACACTCTAAGGTTGAACCACTCAAGAAAAAACAAGCAAATCAAGCAATAAAATACCTCTAACATTTATCGCTATTCAAATCCAAAAGGAGAAAAACGGTTTCAAACCACTCAACAGAGAAAGAAGACGGCAAATAAGAAAGAAAGAACACATTAAATGCTTCCATTTCAGCTTCTTCACATGCTCAACTGCATAATCCAACTGAAAAACCAAAGAAATAATTAAGTGATAACAGTTACAAGAAAAGCCAAATCTATGTAAACGAAGAAAAATCAAGATCCATCATCCACACTTCTAAGTTACCCAACCAACTTATACCGTAATTCAAATTTGCACCAACATTCCGCTATTAACAAACCTCAAATTTTATCTCTTCCCCTGCTTTCCCAGGCTACATACTCGAAGTCAACTGAAGAATCAAAACATAACAGAAAAATACAAACAAATAAAATCGAAACGTCATTCTAATGAATCTAATCCTCAAAAAAAGTATACCCCACATTCCTGGACATCCGTAACCATCAGAACCCACCTCCAAATCTTCTCGGGCAGCAAACCAATCAAAATCAAAACCAAGGATTTACAGTTCAACATCAATCAACACAAAAACCAAATAGAACCCGATGCCACCAAAATCTACAAAACCTCCAAAAACCAACCCAAAAGTTCAGCTCAAACTCAACACTTTCCAAAAACCCAGAAATCTCTATTCACTCAACAATTCAACGTTTAAAGAAATCACCACTTCAAATTCAATAACCAACACAGCAATCAAGACAAATGAGTAGCTCTACCTGATCACTCCAGCTCAATCCAGCTCGAAAAGATTCCCAACTCCCGAACTTGAATCTTGATTTGAAGATCTAAACGGAGAATTCCTCCAAAAGATCTTAAGCTCCAATTGCTGGGATTCAAGATCTAGGGCAACAAAAGGAGACCAGAAGAGAGAGAGAACCAATATACAAATAAATTAAAGAAAGAGTTCGCGTTCTGTTTGCTGTCTTTTTTTTTCTTTTAATTTCTCGCAATCGATTCAGTCTTCTCTCTCTCTCTCTCTTCAAGTCTCACCTGTACAAGCAGCCGTTGCGCTCGGTTCCAAACAAGAACACTTCAGCCGGCGAATTATATTACAGAGTTTGTTTATTTTATTATAAATTTATTATTATTACGTGCTTCGTTTATAGAATTTTCCACGCATACGTATATCGTATCTCTTCATGCAATTGACTTTTCTTTTAACGTAAATTACGATATCACCCTTGCTCATTTTGGAAACCTCCTAAGACCGCCTTCGGTTGCGGTACAAATTTCTTCATTTACATTGGGTAAATGCACGGGAGTGCAAAAGAGATGGGTGTAAATGGGCGCCTCACATGCATATCCACCGTGCATGGGAATATCTCCCGTGTAATAATTAATAAATACGGGAGATGTTGGTAGGATGTGAGGAGCAGATCCGATTTCTACTTTTGCTTGATTGAAATTTGACTTTTTCTCTTTTGTAATGAAGTATTGCCTCCAATTAAATGAAAGAGAGTGAATCGATTAGATATTTGAACGGGACGAATACTTAGAGAAGAAACCCCTATTCTAAATTTCTAATTTGTATTCAATTCAATATAGCCTGTGACGTAGCAACAAGACTAACAACTGATAGCACACAAGAATAAGACGAATGAGAAAACTGTTGGATTTTAATCTCATAAGAGATTAAATCTAATGGATTTGATTGGTCAACTACATGAGAAATTGCACCTATACATTTGATTTAAAAATCAGTTTTTCTCTTACAAAAATCCAGTTTTGAACTTGTCCCACATTGAAAAATTATAAGTTTTGTTTTCAGTATTTCAATAGGAGCTGATTTACACTCCTTAGAATTAATAGAGGAGAGTATGGGGATTCGATACCACGCAACGCATGCGCATGCATGTGCGTGGCGCAATGAGACGCACTTTGCTCGCACCCGCGTGACTCACGATGGGTGGCTTTGGTTTTGTTGCGTTTCTGACCGTTGATCACCGTTGATGAGATCAACGGTCACGATTTGATCGGGTGTGATCAAGAGGCACAATTCAAAAGAAGGTTTCTTTGGAGACTCTTCAACTTTGTTGGTTGTAGATTCTCGCCCAAGGCTCTGTTGTATCTTGAGAACGAATTTGCCAGCAAACTCAGTAAAATTGAGTGGGGGCAAATAACGTTCTAAAGACAGTGTCTTCAGACACGCCTCAGAGCTTCTCCTCCAAAGTTATAGTGACCCCATCTTCTCCAACAAAAACTAGTGCCACAAGGAGAGAGAGAGAGAGAGAGAGAGGAAGATGATGGTCCAACCCCAAAGATCCAGAGGAAAATGGTGGTGGTTTGTAAAGGTTGGTGGTTAAGAGAGAGAGGAAGAGGGGAGAATAGAGAAAGTCGGCTTACAATGAAAAAACAACATTAAACCATTAAGCATTGGGCATTTGGAAAGAACAAACCTAGTAGTGGCACAACTATGATGGGTTTTAGATATGTTCATGGGCCGGGTTTGGGCTTGACTTTTGTCAAAATTCTAATGCACCCGGCCTGAAACCTAAGCTTGACACAGTGTAAAATTGAATCCGAAGCCCGCCCTGTGAATAAGTCTAATGGGTTTAGGAAGAAGAATCCTCTGCATCAAATGATTGAATGAAAATGAATATACAATGTTAGATGATTGGGCCTTGGGCATTTGGGAAGAACAAACCAAGTAGCAACATGGTTACAATGGGATTATGAAGAATGAAGAAGAAATGTATCTCTTATATGGCTTGGTTTGGAAGGAGTACAAATACAAATATGTAGAGTGCAAAACCATGTATTTGCATTTGTATTCCTTCCAAACTGAGCCTAAGGCTGTGTTTGGAAACGATGCATATGTGTGAATGCAAGTATGTAGAGTGTAAAATGGTTTATAAAAGGCTGAGTTTGGAAAGAGTATAAATACAAATATGTACAATACAAATGCATACAAAATAATACAAAATATAAGGTTTTGAACTCTACATATTTGTATTTGTACTCCTTCCAAACAGAGCCTATAAATTGCAAAGTTGGGTTAGCTTTGCATAGACAAATTTACCTTCTTACCAAACAGAACCACTTGAAATTTACTTATTTTTTATTGATGTACTTTTACATCTTATTATCAATGTAAATATCTATTGGAAAATGTGTTTTCTGCCATTTGTCAATGCATAAATGTAGTGTAGCCAAATACGAGCAAAAGTGAACTAAAGTGCAAATTTACACTGTCAATGCATAAATGTGTGTGTGTGTGTGTGTGTCTGTGCAAGGTTCGATGTATCAATCTATATCAATCGATACGTATCGTGTCAATGATTTCCTGATACACCCCTACAAGGATTGTATGGATTGTATCAAATCAGGCCATGATTCAGAAGATAGCCAAAACTTAAACCGACCCCTATAAACCGGTTTTGAAAAAATAAATAAAACATAAAAAAAGCATTAATATCAATGTATCAGCTTGTATCCATACTTTGAACATTGCCTAAACTCCAAAGCTTCTAAACTGCTTAATTTTTTTGCTTGATCAACATCCTTTGTTACTGAAAAATCAGTATAAGCATGCCTATTCATATGACATTAGCAAAGTCTTTGGTTTGGGGCGCATCTTATATGACTCCAACGCGTCAACAATTAAGTATTTTGTCTTGTTGAAGCAAAATAAATAAATAAATAAATTCTCTTAATAAATACCACCTCTCTTCGTAAGAGGCAACAAAACTTTGCCAAAGCTTTGAAATAAATTCGATAGGGTAGTGTTTTAAAAACCAACCAAAAGGATGAACTGTTTTTGCATGGATCAGCTCAGCTCATGGCACATCATCAATTTAAATAAAATATATAAATATACGTACATATATTTTATTAATTAAATAATTTATAATAAATTTAATTTTAGATTTTGAAAAGTTATCTAAAATTAAGAAAAAAATCATCCCAATCAAACAATCTAACATAATATAACCCGAACCCGACCACTAAGAGGGTGTTTGGGAAGTCTTTTTAAGGGGTCTTTCAAGCTTTTCAAAGGTCAGAAGACCTTGTACTTAGCTTTTTCGTTTGGCAACCACAAGATAGAAAGCCAAAAAGATAGGCCCCCTAAAAAGCTCAAGAAAGCTGAAAATTGTACGAAATCCAAAAGCTTCATTTGAGGCTTCTGGTCTTTTTGAGCTTATGAGTTCTTTCTTCATTTGAAAAAAATCCCTAGTTTCACTCTCACATTCCACCATTAGGAATCTGAACACATAGGCCTCTTAAACAAACGAACCTCCACATATTTGCATAAGCCAATGTGTAGGTGGGGCCCATAAGTGATAAATACACATTTGAATGCATTAGTGGGTCCCATACATGACATTTCCAAGGTGTATTTCCATTTAAATGCTCAACAATTATTTGTTGTGATATATGTGTTTCCAAACATTCTTTGGGCCCTTTTACTTTTAAGAAGATCTATAAAAAAATTGCAATCAAACAGTCTTTGATCTTTGAAAATTTACCCATAAAAGTTCATCAATCTTTTGAAGTCTTGAGCTTTTGGAAGATCTTCTTAAAAATACTTGCCAAACACCTCCTAAGTAGAACGAGTCAATGATTGAATGGTCAAGAAAATTGGGCGCAAAATCAAAATTGAGTGACCATTCCCATAATTTCTTTCTTTGACTTTAACGAGTTACGGAAGTGGAAACCATAGAGCTCGCATTTCCCCTCCTCCCACCGTGTTTAGTCAAAGGGTTAAAGTTGGATGAATTTGAACATAAAGAATTAGCAAAAGAAGAAACTGAGTTCTTCATTTCCAACTGGCCTATCAAGTCGATCTAGACCAAATTCTGCAAATAGCATCTCATTTTTGTGAGCTAATAAGGCATAGGTGTTCACCATTGAGAAGTTGAGCATCTTTGAGGAAAAAATAGTAGATACAAAGTTTAAAGCATCGATATGTATCGGCCGATATATATCAGCAAGTGGTTATCAGAGCCTTTCCAATACGCCCTTATAAGAGGTGTTTTGAGTCGACAAATGGTTCAGGGGTAAACCAATCTTAAACCGGCCCCTTTGAACCATATTCAAAAAAAATAAAATAAAACAAAAAAAACAAAAATGAGTACCGAGCAGGCCAATACGCCCTACCAGTGTATCGCCCTGTATCGATACTTTGAACCTTAAGATCATTCAACAGGTTGCAGTTTCTGGATACTTGCAGGAGATGTTGGGAGAAATCTTGTGTTGGCCTTTGAATTTGTGCTTTGCTGAACTTCTCTTAACTCGTCATTGTGGAGTTAAACATTCTAAATCTAATATGCATGTCAAACATGGATTCCTCTGATTACAAATTTACAATATCAATATTAAAATTATCGATCCGAAGCCTTCAAAGCTTCCCAAACAATGTCTTACTCTGTGAGATGAAAGACCCATGAACTGGTTCATTAACCACTCCAAATCCATACCACCATATCAATATTAACCATGTAAACATAAAAACATTAATCAGGGAAAAAGTATTTTTTAAAACCATCAAATTCGGTGGTGAAACCTGTCGGAGGTGTGCATTCAGGGCTTGTTGCTGACGTTCCAAGTGAGGAATGGGGTGGAGTTTAGTTCAGTTGCAGAGGACTCAATAACGGCAGTTTTGGAGTCCAAACTGCCGTTAAGTGCTCGGCTCCCGTTAATTTTGAAATGTAAAAATTGAGATGGCGTGGCCCAATGGTATTGGAGGGTTCATGTAAAAAGTGGATCCAAGGGTTCATTGGACGTGGGGGCGGAAACAGGAAATTTTTATAAGGGGCCAAAACCTAAATGAAATATAAATGGACCATAGGGAGGGCCAACCATTGAGATGGACAGTGGGGGGAGGGGAAATTTTACATAAACAACTGTATTACTATGAAGATTTTCTGAACCATAGGGGGGGCCATGGCTCCCCTGGGTCCCCTTGGCTCCGTCCCTGATAGGATGTGAGCTCGGGTTACATGGGGCATTAATTTCCTTTTTCGGGAGTGAAAATGAATGGAAAACAATCTTGAACTCAAACCAGATTTCCTGCCCACTACTCCCTACCCAATTGTGAGATGTGTGGCTGCAATTCAAGGTAGGTAGTTATGTCCCATGGTAATAAATGTGTTTGGTTCCATGACCATTTTTTGAAGGAATATTTATACTTTGGAAATAGTAAAAGCAAGGTTTTTAAAATCGAATCAGACAACTAACCGGTCAGGGGTCCAATTCCTGGGTTGAATAGTCTGATTGTTCAAACTGAGTGAACGGGCCCCCGTCCTAACAAAAAAATTAAAACCGACTAAACCGTTGAATGGTTCAAATGGTTCAACCGCCCGAATTAATGATTTACTGACCAAATCAACATTTTTGACGAAATAACGGTTCTGAGGTAAAACGGATCCGGTCACCTGACCTATTCCCGATTTTTTCAATTCAGTTTTGAAAACCATGCAGGTAATGGGCTCTTTGTATATATTTTTTTATTATTATTTAAGCCAATTAAGTGTTATTAGGCGTCATACTATTGCAAGAAGGAAACCTAATTTTGATGTTTTTTGCAATGATAGATTTCAAGTACTCGAAAATATTTAAAGGTACTTAAAATGCCTCAACCAAACAAGAAAAATTTGGGGTGAAACGGCCATGCCGTTCATGTGATGTATAAACGACAATAGTACCAAAGACTGTCGTGGCTTTTTATCCACCGTTAGCGATTCCTCCTTTTCAAAAGAACGTGGAAATTCCAACTAACTCAATTGCAAAATGAAAACCAACATATATGATATATTGCAAGGCAAACATAATGAGAATTTGATTTTTTTTTTTTTGGCTGTACGCTGTAGAGTGTAGACAGCCTTTGTTGTCTACAGCAAGGTTGTGTATCGGGTGAATGGATACTGTATTTTTATTTTATTTTTTTTTCACAATCAGTTTAGGGGGCCGGTTTAGGTCTCTTCCATCCCTTGAACCAGTTAGACCTCCGATACACTCACTGTAGGAACGTATCAGAAGGGTCCCAGAATGATACGTATTGACTGATACATATCAATACTTTGAACCTTGGTCTACATAACTCTTTTAACATGATACATTAATTGAAATGCCATGTAAATAGTGGCATTTGAGATCTTATTTCCTGTGACTGTGGTCACAGAATTTTCTTGCAACCTCCGATGGAAACTAGTGGTTCTTTTGAAAAATGCGGCAACGGTGGTAATTGAGATCACTCTAACTGTTACTACATCCTTAGCCACTGAATAAGATCGTCTTTATTTGGAACATCTTCAATAATAATAGAGATATTTCCAATACACAGTTGTAGTGTCCTATAAATAGGGATGTGAAAATAACTTGTGGGCAACAAATTCGAGCCTTTCGCAAGTTAGCATGATATCATTGAGCCAGTAGAGGACTGATCCTCTCCTCATTGGCCAGCAGGGAGAATTTGGAGGACCAGTCTTTGTCATTTATGGAGCCAACAGAGGATCAATCCTATCCTCACCGGCCAATAATATACCTATTAATTAAGGCTATATTTGGTTTGAAGGAAAAAGATAAAGAATTTTATACAAGGTTTGTATAAGATTCCCTATTTTTTCGAGTTCATGTCAGCACCCCATGGCACATCTCAACTGTGTTTCGAAAATATCTTCCAATGACAAGTAGGGAAGATATTCCCAATACACACTAACATGTGCATGTGGGACGCTAATGTGATCTATATACTTTTTCTTTCAAACCAAATACAACCTAAAAAAATTTTGATCACAATTGCTAATTTGCCCCCATGCACAAAAAGCTTCAAAACAGCCAAACTTTTCCCAAACAACAGCAATAATACTTGCTAACATTAACATTTAACTTGTGATGCCGAGGGATTCTGTAGACAGGCCAGGCTGTTATATGCGGACAGCCAAAGTAATACTAGGTTTTGCTGAGTTAATGGATGGATATCCATTGGACATCCGTAATTGTTGATAATAAAAAAGGGGGGACATGTGTCACTTATCAATTACCAATAAGTGTTATCAGGCTCGGATTAGATTTGAATGATCGGACGGCCGGCCAAATTCCAAAACGGTTTGGTTCGTGGGTTGTTGGTTCTTACAAATGTTGACTTGGTTGGTTAAACCTACATCATGTTCATAACAATATATTTATTATTTTTTTAAGCCCATTTTGATAATATAGCTAGATTTAGAAAATAATTTAAGATATTCACTATTCTTTGTAATATTTTTTCTTTCATTAATTTTTATTTGATTGAATTGAATAGATAAATTAGACAATCTATTGTATATATTAAAGAAATGTGGTCACGCAACAGCCATCCCCACTTGGTACTTCAATTTTTTAGAAAAGAGGATCTCAAAAGTGGTTAATTAATTTTACATTTAAATAGAATAATTATCTTAGAAGTGGTTTATTCAAATACATTCAATCCAGTTTGAAATGATACAAAAATGTGGCTATTTATAAAAAACACATAAAAGACCTAAAATGAATTTAGCAAATAAATAGTAAATACCAATTAAAATGGGTTATTATTTATAAATAAGACATTATTTAATCTCTTAGATCATATTAAAAACAACATAAATTAATCGTGATTTCCAAACAAAGTAGGTCTGAATAGATTGTGAATTACAAAGATGTAAGACCCGTATTAATATTTCTAATTTAATTTTTTATACTTAAATAGTAAATTTCAAATTAAATGATACTATAGTTGCCCCGTACATAGTACGGGGTCATTCTCTAATTAAATATTCAATGGAATGCATTTTATACATTCATTTTAGAATTTAGGGTTTGGATATTCGATTTACTAACAAAATAAAACCTGAACCAGTGACGAAGTAAACAAAATGGTTCATCCCAAGGTTTTTAAAATCGGACAAGACATGAAATCATTCTAGGGGACCAGTTTTCAGGTCGAACAGTCCAACCATCTGGTTCGAACGAACAACCCATTCTGACTTAAAAAAAATAATAAATAAATAAATAATGACCAAAAACCACTGTCCAAGTTGACAGTTGGACCACCAGGGTCAGAATGGTTTGCTGTGATTCACGGTTTTTAGCCCAGCGTAGGGGAACAACCATGGCATTTGAGAACGTAAGGGGCAGTAGTGTAAATGCAAGGTAGAGGGAATTGTTTAATATATAGTTCATCAAACCAGAGCCAGAGGCGGCCAAATACCTTGTATGTCACGACCATTAGTTGGTAAAAGCTTCAGGAACACACTGTCCTGTCCACACACCAAAAGCTTAAAATTCAAACTTGTTGATGCCAACTAAGAAAGGGAAGCTTCATATACTCATCCATCCCCACCATTTCTGTTGTCGGATCTTCATCGGAGAAGTGTGTAGGAGAGGACATCTTGCATGTGAATTGATGGCTAGCTCCTTAATTAGAGCTTCTCGGCCAAATGCCTCTGAGAGTCCCTGACATACCCCAGGTTCCTCAAATTTGGCGATTTCGATGGTGTAACAAGCTTTTTAATTGTTGCTTGGATTTGGGGTTCAAGTGAAATGATCCTTCGAAATCAAGGAAACCCAGATTGTTTGAGCAACCCAAGAGACTTGTTGAGCTGATCATATTCATATTAATGGCTTCTCCTCCAAATGATAGTTCTTAGCTAGAGACTTGTAGCTCAGCTTCAGAGACAGGTCAATCAGTCTCAATAAGGCCAGAGATCACTAGGCTTTTCAGCTGAAATTGATGGTCTTGTTGTTAGTTGAGCGGTTTGTGTGATTGGGTGTGTGGTATAGCTCCCTAAATTACACCATGTTCAAGTTCAATCTCTATGTGATATAAAAACTTATGATATCATATTCATGAACGCCATGGATTAATTTATAGAAGCTTAAGGGTGGTAGCTGAAACGGTTCAAGACCAGAAGAGTTTGTGAACAGGAGAGGAGGAGGGATGGATGGGGTGGCCAAGGAGGAGTCATTGCCTCCGGGATTCAGGTTTCATCCCACTGACGAAGAACTCATCACTTACTATCTCACCCACAAGATATCTGATGCCAATTTCACTGGGAGAGCAATTGCAGATGTTGATCTCAACAAATGCGAACCGTGGGATCTCCCAGGTATAGTAATCTCAACCCTTAATTTGATTCATCTCTTACACCCATCATCATCTACCAACCTGGTTTATTGCACTGCTGGTGCAACAACTCTTGGCTTACACCAGGCTTCATTGCTTTCTGGTAAAATTTAAAATTTCTCCTCAAATTTGGGCTTATGACTTACACCAGCTTGTTGAATCTACAGCTCTGGAAGCTTTTAATTAAGTTTCCTTCATGCTCTTAATTTACTCACAGAGCGCGCCTCACACCAAGTTGCAGCTATATGCACTGTGAATATATAGAATTACGAGAGATAATCCCGATGTGCGCGCGCGGCTGAAACCTGCAAGTACTGTAAGGTTGGTGTGAGGCGCTTTACGTGAGGAGAAAATCCGAACTCTAAAATCAGTGGTCTAGAGTGGGGATTTGTTCCTCACAATATAGCACCCCTCATACCAACCTCACAGAACTTGCAGTGCATATTGGGAATATCTCCTGTATTTGTATGAACCCGGGATCTGCTGATCAGCATATCAGAAACATTGGTTGTACTTTAAAACATTGATATTCTCAATGTATAATTGGATAAGCATGACTAGCAGCAGATATATACAGACTCTACTTGTATATGGTCATTCATGCATGGAGAGATTCAGTATGAACAACTGCAATGTATTGTGACTTTTGAGGTTGGTCTGAGGCACTCTTTGTGAGGAACAAATCCTAATTCTTGATTTTAAGGCCATGAGCTGTAGTGCAATAACCTGAATTTACTCCTAGTTAACACAGTGCTCACATCAACCTCACAACACATCCTACCCTGTATTGGAAACATCCTCATGAATAATGGCATGCAAGTAGGGGAGACGTTGCTGATATATAGCTAGGTCGACGTTCTGTGAGGTTGGTGTGAGGCGCGCTATATGTGTGAGGAGCAGATCCAGACCAGTGGTGCAATTTCTTAAGACCTGACACAAACAAAATTTTCTCTCTCATGTGTAGGGAAGGCAAAGATGGGAGAGAAAGAGTGGTACTTCTTCAGCCTTCGAGATCGAAAATACCCAACTGGAGTACGCACAAACCGTGCAACGAATGCTGGATACTGGAAAACAACTGGGAAAGACAAAGAGATCTTTAACTCTATTACTTCAGAGTTGGTTGGAATGAAGAAGACATTGGTTTTCTATAAAGGAAGAGCTCCCAGAGGAGAGAAAACCAACTGGGTCATGCATGAATACCGACTCCATTCCAAAACCATCTTCAGAACTGCCAAGGTAAATTAGCTTACTCGTCCCTTCGTCAATGATAACGATTAATTGGATGTTTATCATATATTGAGTTGCTTCTGATGAATTAATAGATCATATTTTATGGACGCAGCATTTGCTCTGAGCTATAAAATCTCTAGAGACAACATATTGTCCCCTATAATTAATAAGATTACAGATACTAGCTGCATGCATGAAAATACATGCTCGTCTGAAGCGATTTCAAACCTTCACCCAAACAGACAAACAACCTGTGTTAAAAATAAATAAATAAATAAGAAGAAGTTCTTCCACTTTTTTTCACGATTGGATTGACCCAAGTTATAATTGGGTTGGAGTCGATTTTGATTGTTTCAAATCGATCAATCCAAACAGACTATATGTATAATTGTTATCTTTATTTTGGGCAACTATATATAGATAGATAGATAGATAGATAGATAGATAGAGAGAAATCAAGGTTCAAAATGCTTCTATAATGTGTGTTTTAGGGTTTGACCTGGTTCAGGGGGTAGAAAGGGCTTAAATTTATTTTTGCCTTAAACTGAATTAATTTGAAAAAAACACTAAAAAATAATTAAGAATAAACTTCAATATACATGTTGATATATCCGAGTATCGGCCTGTATCGATATTTTGAACTTTGAATAAAATATAGTAACTTAGAGGCTTTAATAGAGGGGCTTTGTGAATAAATTGTTTGGGCTAAGCACCAAAGCACTAACCTAGTTCCACATACACTTCCACTCACCAAAAAAGAAAAGAAGCACCAACTTGGTTCATAACGTGAAGAATTCTAATAAAATGGAGCTTATGCAGTTCTTGGAAACTTCGCCCTAGAGACAAGGTGGGGCCATTCAATTCTTGAAAATTTTATACAAGCAAGATGGGACCGTTGATGGAAATTTGTGAAGAAGATAAAAGGTGGGCTAAGTTTCTCATGGGGCGAATAATTCCAAGAACCATACAAGCGCGTTGCATGCTAGCATTCCCGGTTGGCAAATTTGGATTTGGTCGTACCTTTTGGATCATTTTCTTGACTTTGTGAATTGGACGGTACATATTTGTTTGACGTTTTGGCGTAACCTAGCCTAACTGGTTAAGGAGGACAATTGTTTTTATTATATTATAAAAGTCAATGGACATTTGGACTGACCTCTAAATTTCCCTCTATTATTATTGGGAGGTTGCCTAAGAAGGATAATTGTACTTGGAATAGAATCATGGCTTTAAATATTACAAGATTTTGCTGAATTTTGATTTCTCATCTTATTATTATCATTTTATGGTAAAGGGCTTTATTTTTTTTGGGGTCATTTACTAGAATATCTATCCTATAGTTTGCATTTTACTAAAACATCCTTTATAGTTTGAAATCTATTTTTTTAGTAGAGAAAAATAAAGTGGTTGTTCATGTTTTACCAGGGATCAAAATGACATTTTTTTTTTGTTTTTACTTTCTTATGATTAAATTTATTTGAATGGATGTTAGGGTTAAAACTGTTATTTTCACTTTCATCTAATGGAACTTCGATTAAGTAAATTGATAACAAACTATAGGGGATGTTTTAGTAAAATCATGAAACTATAGGGGGTATTTTAGTAAGTGACCCTTATTTTTTTATATTTTTTAATAAAAAGGGCCGTAAAACCTCAACCTTTCAATTGATGGGAGCTGAAAGCTGATATAAGTGGGCTTTACACCTGTTATAGGGGTTATAGCCTGGGTCCTAGTCCGGTCCATCCAAGGTTCCAGGCTTAAAACATAAGCCCAAGCCCAAGCTTATATGGGCCTAGACCAGGTAGGGTCTGATTTTGTAATATAATTTTATAAACGTTTATTATATTCTGTAATATAATTAATTTTTTATTAATATTGAAATTTAAAAATTAATAATTGTTTTCATGAATAATTAAATTAATTATTTTAATATTGTGATTAATTAAAAATTCCCAAGATACAATTACCAATTTATTGTTTATATATTCATCATTATTTCAGAATTACCAAAGTTTAATACCAATTACTATTTTTAATAATTAATTTTAGTGACATATTACCAAAAAATTAATTATTTTATTAAGATTAAAGTTTAAAATTTAATAATTATTTGTATGAATTATTTTATTACTTTTTAATAATTCAAAATATTAGTTTTATTAATGAATCATATTACTGAATATTACTATTAACAACAGTAATATTTTTTATAAAATAAGAAGTATAAGATTTATTAATTCATATTTAAGAATTATTAATGATAATTATAAAACTATTCATGATTTTTTAAATATTAATTATAAAATTTAAAAATCATTATTAACTATTTTCTTTTGAATAATTAAAAATACCTTAAAATATTATTTTTTATTAATTAATATTATTGTTAATAACTATAAATTAAAAATAGTGCTATTAATTACCAGCGGAGACCCATGAGCTGCATGAGTTTTGTTAGAAGAATTTGAAGCAAAAGGAGCTAGGCTTGTAGCTTGGGTTGAGTGGGCCTAACCTGAGCCCAACCCATCTCAACCAAAGCTTTTGCACAAGTTGGGCTTGAGTTTTAGAACTTTAAGCTGGTTTTAGGCCAAAAAACTCAAGGCTAACCTAAACTCAAGTTGGGCTTGGGTTGTGGCCTCGGGTAGTTCGTGCTCAATTCAACCCAGTTGATCTCATACCAACATTTTATGATAGACTAGGCTCTATAGCTCAATATGCCTAAGCCTAAGTCTAGCTCAAGATGTTAGGTTAAGCTCAAGTTGGGCCTAAGTTGGTAAACACAGGCTGAACCTTGGGTTGTTAAACTCGGGCTTGGGTTAGTAAATTACCAGTAATTATTATCATTCTATTTTTGTTATATATTAGTAAATTATAAATAATTATTGAAAACTACCAATAATCTTTCTCTTACCAACCTAGCCTTAACCTAAGCTTTAACCCAACATCTTGGGTTGGGCTTAGGATTGGATGTGTTGAGCTTTGTGGCACAATTTCTAGGTAGAATATATTGATAATATACAGATATGTATATCACAAAATGTTGGGTGGGCTCAAATTGATCAAATGGGCTCGGGCTACCCATGCCCTCAACCCAAGCTCAACCTGAATTTAGGTTAGACTTCAATTTTTTGGCTTAAGTCCAACTTAAAGTTTGAAAACTCAAGCCCAAACTATGCAAAATCTTTGGTTGAGTTGGGTCAACCTCGGGTTAGGCCTATTCAACTTGCACCTTAACTCCTTTTGCCTCAAGTTATTTTAACAAAGCCCGTGCATCACACAGGTCCCCACTAGTATATATACTAAAGTAGAAACATGCTACATCATGGCTTGACCTTTCTTCCTTACCCCAACCAAAAACTCTTAGACACTCTTCATTTTAGCCTTTCTTGCTCCCTTATGAGCCACCTCATCACTCCCTTCTCCCTCTCTCATAATGAATTATTTAACTTTTTTAATTAATTACCGATATTAATTAATATTATTTTATGATATTTCTTTTATTATTTAATTAATTAACAATATTAGCAATACATCATTTAACAATATTTATTAATTAATTATGGTATTTATTTAATTAAATGTCATAATTAAATACTGTTACAAAAATACATCTAATACTTTTAAATAATTAAATAAATAACATAATTAATAAAAATATTGTTAATTAATGAATTAATAATTAATTATATCAAATACTGCTAATTAATTAATAGCATTTTCACAAATACTATTTATCAATTAAATAAATAAAATAAATAAATAAATACCATAATTAATAATAAAAATATTGTTAAAATACCATAGTTAATTATGGTATTTATTTATTTAATTAAGGTATTGTGGTAATTTTGGTATGCTTAGGGGTTTTTTAGTCAATTCAGGTTTAAGGAGGCCAAAACAAAATTCTAATCTAATGCTGGGTATTTTGGGTTAAAAAAAATGAAGGGTGGAGATGGATTTGAGTATATAAAATGGTTTTGTGTGTACAAGCCAATGAGATTAGTCAAAATATAATCTTTTTATATGGAGAGCAAACACGGGTATTTTTTACTGAAATTTTTTATAAGGTGGGGTTTTTAGGCATTTTGAATCAATTGGTGGGGTCAGATTGGCCTAAATAGGCTTAGATTAGGTAGATGTAGAGAAGTAGTGATTTGGTTAGTTTATTAACTTTAAAATAAAATCTTGATGTGATGGAAGGGAAAATGAGGGAATTTTTTGTTAAAATTTGGCAAGGTTGTGTTTTTTAACATTATGGGTTGATTGGTAGCTGGCGTTCTATGAATGTTTTTGTTTCATTTGTTTTGAAATCGTCATGTCATATAAACAAAAAAAACAAAGGTTTATAAGACAAAAACAGTGCAAATGTTAGGATGATGTTTGGTACATCTATCACTACGTAGGTGTTTTGAGTTTACATGTTAATTTTCTGTTTGGTTGATAGTGCTGCCACTTTATCGTCATCGAGGTGCTCTGGGTTTGAATGTCAATTTTTTGTTTGGTTGAGATTGTTTTTTACTGGTAAGATTGTTTTAAATTAAAATAGTTCAATAAATGCCGTCACATCTGCGCAAGCTAAGCATCGGCATTTATTAAGGTTGGAATAACCAAAACCAAACGTGGAAAGTGGTGCTTTCAGATAAAGTGTTTATCTAAAAAACATCCATTCATAAACGCTAATAGAGTCAAACACATAGGGTTAGTATCATTGCCATTTGTAACGTTTTAGGTTAGTCAACACAAATTTTATAAATGGCAACTCCTAATCCGATGTCTATATTTTTTTAGTGGAAGTGGTTATCTAGTATGATGTGAATACAATTTCTCAAAAATTTATATTGACCAACCTAAATCATTACAAGTAGAAATGACAATGATACCAAATACAACCTAGATTTGCATATAAATGTTAATTTATGAGTAATAATGAGTCAATCATCAAAAAACATTTACTTTTTGGATGAGAGATAGTATAATAAGGTGGTGTCACACTTAATATAAATATCTCATTTAAATATTTTAGGTAGCAATGTCAATACCAGACACAATGATCAAAACACTTATTTATCAACATTAGTAACAACCAAACAAGTTTCACGTGAAAGCTCCTGTGTTGAACCTCTTTCTCTCTCTCTCTCTAAATGTTTGAACCTGAGATGGAAATGATACTAGACACAATCTATGATACATGATAAAATCCATAGATGAAACCATGTTTTTCAAACCAGAACTTCAAGAAGATGCTTTTGGATTTTGTTAATTTTTGAAACTAACAATTTGTTTTCAAAGCAGAACTTCATGAAGCAATTTGTTTTCAAACCAGATTACATTAGAAAACACCCAAAGATCTCTGTTCATAGCTTGTTAATAATGTTGTTGTTTGGCAGGATGAATGGGTGGTCTGCCGAGTCTTCCAAAAGAGTGCTGCCGGTGGCAAGAAGTATCTCCCCAACCAGACAAGATCAAATCCTTATAACCTCGAAATCAGCCAAAGCGGCGTGGCACCCATCATGCAGGCCGACACATGTCACTTCCCGGTTGGAAGAAACTATTTAGGTAATGCTGACTTGGCAGAACTTTCAAGGGTCCTACGTGGCACACCAAATGGTAATATACCAATCCAGTCACAGCTAAACTATCCAGGTAGCTGCTATACAATTTCAGGGTTAAATTTGAACATTGGAGCTCCAACACAACCAGCAGTTTGGAGGACAGTGACACCAGTCTTGAATCAACAATCCATAACCACAGATGCATCTTCGTCCCTGTTAACCAATTGCATGCTTTCATCAACTGATGCTGGTTTTAGTGTAGACATGAATGCAGCTGGTAACAATAGGTTCCAACATATGGACCCAGGTGTGGAACTTGAAAACTGCTGGCCTCCCTACTAAGAGAGAGGGGGTATACTTGAAGCTCATTAAATGGTATAGTATATATAATTCAATATAGTAGTTGAAGCTTTTCTTTTCTTTTCTTTTCTTTTCTTATTCATAAAATATATACAGTTTGATGCAAAGTTGTTTTATGGTTATTAATTAATTTTACGTCCCCAATTTTAAGTGGGTAATGAAAAATATGTTTCTCCAAGATTTTTTTTTTTGTGTGGCAATTATATGTAATAAATAAGTGTAAAGGGATTCTTTGAGAAAGAAGATTGGGATCACTTACTCTATTTACAGACTATTTTGAAAGGAAAAGGTTATTTGCTTATTCATTCAATGTGACAAAGTTTGTCTTATTCATTGTTATTGATAAATACTTAAATAGTTCAACAAAAACAATTTAATACATGTCATCAGATAAAAACACAACAAATTTGAGGAAAAAAAATCACTAATTATATTATCTGCCTTCTCCTAATGTTCCTTGGCAAGGATGAAGAACTCTCAAGTTGTATCAACAATGTGGTTGTGTCCTTGAGCAAGCAATGTAAAAAAATCAAGTATTAACAAAAATTACACTCAATAGAAAACTAAATCATTTTCTTAATATCCATGTAACAAATGATTGAAGCAAATCAGACTTAAATCTAAAACTAATACCACCTAATTCTAAAGCTAAATTTTACAATAATGTTAATATGAAAATGAAAATTGCATAAGAGAATCATAAGACAATTTCAGGTCTAAAGTTGAAGCTTAAAAAACATGATAGATTTTTGAGATGGGGTTCAAGTACAAATGGACCCCAAGCTGACCAGCAAAAAGTTTGTCATTTCACCTGTATATATAAAATATATGTGGTGCTCTGCTGTCCCTCACAAGTAAAATTTTATTTAAGTTGGTGAATGTTAGATCCCCAACAGTGATACCACCCAATTTCTTCCCTTTTTTTTCTTTGAAAATCAAGATAAATATGTTATTGATAGTAATGGATAAGTATAGAAATTTACAGTTTGCCCTGTTTACAAAGATTTCTGTACAAAACAAAAACAAGCAAAAAATAGGAAAGTATGCATGCAAAAAGAAATTAAATTAAGCATATCTGGAAGGGAGACATCCCTAAATAAATTGAGTTTCTATCCAAGACCAAAAAATCTCCACTATTTTGTTGATATCACTCCTTCATATCTACTCATCTGTTCAAAAATATGAGAATGAGAGTTCTTCTCCAATCATATAGACCATATATTGGCATAAGGAACTAGAGCCTAAATCACCTTCCTCTTCCTATTTAATCCCTTTACATTTCATTATTCTAATATGCTCAAAAGGTACTGTCGAGCCTTCAAAGAATAAGATCAAATCTTGGTACTACTGTTCATAACCGTTTTTGGATCAGTTTATCATGGAAAAAATATAAGGGGACGTGGTAATTTGGCTTTTTTAGTTTATTGCTTCAAATATTCAGTCTTGGTGTCTTACTCCTAGATATTATACTGCTTTTCTAACCAACATGATGTGTAAATAAATCCAATCATTGTCAAGAAATGCAATATACTTTTTAGATAAACAATTATAAAAATACAATATGATTATCAGCTCACTTGAAAGGAGAGAGAGAGAGAATAGGTCTGAAGACCAAGGTTCAAAATGTTGATATGCCTCGGGAGGCGTATCGATATGTAGATACATTCGGAAACATGTTTTTATTTCAAAACTTGGTTTTTGGGGAGTTAAAATAGAAGTATTTTTATTAAAAAAGAGTGAGATCATGAAACTTCTGTAAACAAGTATATCAGAACAAAAAAGATATGATACGATATGCCCGATACGAGGCATATTGTATCAAAATTTCGAACCTTGCTGAAGATAAATGATGGGTTAAAGGTCCTCAAATCTGGGTATGGGGCCCTTATATATAGCAAATTGGGTCTCCCATGTTCCAAAGTCATCTTATATTTTACTTTTCCTATTTTATCCGTATTATTATTATTCTGGTATTGGCCATTATTATTCAGGAATGTTCTTTAACTGATTAGTACTATTGCTCTTTTGTCCATTGTTTGGGTACATGCCCTTATTTATATCAAATTGGACCTCCCATGTTCTAAAGTTTATTTATATTTTACTTTTTCTTATTTTACCCTTTTAATTAATATTTTATCCCTTAACATACATGATACAAGCTCTTTTTGTAAATACTTTATGGATTATTCTATGTAAATGCTCTTAATGTCTTGGAATGTTCCAAGGGATTTGAAAGGCTTTAGATGGTCAATTTCCCATTTTCCATACCCACAATCCCCCAACCCAAGTGAAGGCGAGAATCAATTCTAAGTTAGCTTTTTGGAATTGGGGTCACTAAATTTTGGAGGAGAAGCTTTGAGGCATATCTGAAAATACTGTCTTTAAAACGTTATTTGCCCCTACTCAATTCCACTGAGTTTGTTGTTGGGTTATAAGCAAATTCGTTCCAAGATACAACAGAGCCTTGAGTGAATAAACCTTCTATGAAATAGTAGCAAATCGAACAAAGAGAGACAAGAGTGATTTTTGAAAAACTTGTGTGAATTTGCTTGATTCACGCTCCTTAAATAATTTTTGAAGTCATGGAGCAGAGGAAGGTGTTGGTTCAAAAAAGTCTCATTGAACAATCACAATTTCAAGCATTGTGATTGTTATAAAAATAGTTAACAGTTAATGACTATTAACTTTGAATAGTGCCTCTTGATCACATAATGACCTTGAAACATCAACGGTCAACCTCTCACCAAAAGTCAAAACCGCCATTCATGAGCAAAGTGTGCCTCTAAAGAATCTCATTGCGTAGCATACACTTGTGCATGCACGCAAGTTTTGTAATTTTCCAATGTGGGACAAGTTGAAAACCAGTTTTAGTAAGAGAAAAAACTATTTTCCAAGACATGTGTCTAGGTGTATTTTTCAAATAATTGATCAATCAAACCCCATTAGATTTAATCTCTAATGAGATTAAAATCCAACATTAGCTACATCGAGTTAGAGGCCTTCACAACTGAACCAATTGGCATATTCTGTGAAGCTGATATTTTAAACCTTTTTTGAGGAACAGGAACCATTGGAAAAGCAAGGAATTTGTCAAAGCTTCACTAAAAAAATTCAGATTCTATGTTGAAATACCGATCAAGGACTCATGATCAGCCTAAAGTGAAAATTGGGGACAAGATCTCCTACAATGCACACTCTGAAAGCATGGGCACCCAGCCCTATACTCAGACCATTTTCCCCACATTCAACATACATGTATCAGGGGATATTCCTGATGTGTGACTGGATGTTTTGTGTGCAGAGTTTTTGCTTCAGGAGATCATCAAACCATCTTCCAAAAGGAAAAAACAAAAAACCAAAAAATAAGAATCAAACCATGCTACAGTACGGCACTTTGGAAGTTTGGTGGTGTCAACAATCATTCAGCATTTCAGCAAAGATGGCAATCTACTAGTGCACAAAGCTTGACTAGAAGGAAAAATTAGCAGCAACCTCAAATAACCTTTATTTGAAATTTGGAATCAAGCAATATGCGCTTTTTGCGTATCACATGCATCAATACTATGAAGTTTGAACATTAGTTGGAATCCATATTTTTGTCCATCGATTCTATAGAAATCGTAATGAAATTAGGACTATTTCATAACAGCTCAAGTGACAAAACTGAATGATTTGTGGATTTATATTTTAACGAATAATAATCAAAATTTCGTTGCAACCATGAGGAAACAAAGTGACAATGCAACAAGTCATTGAGTGCAGATTACATCAGCCGCTATCAAACAGGAGCTACATTGAATTTTATTTTTTGGTTAGAAACTTCAAATAAGGAATTTAAGACCCCAAGAAATCCAACTAATCTCTCTACTCTAGTCATGAGTTACATTCAGATGAGTAACAATTTAAGTGTAATGGAATTTCCTTGCACTTTATCAATTCTCACTACAATGTATCAGGTTTTTTCTTTTGCTCTTATATATAGCTTGAAGAAAAAAAAATGGTAATTTAAAAGTTGATTTGAACAAAGTTCGTGCTTCTGTCAATACTTTGAACCTTACATTTGGCACGAACCAATAGGTCACCAGCAGAAAGGTATCAAATAATCTAAAGTTAACATTGTACCCTTTCTTCCATTTTTATCCCGATGTTCTTTTTATTTTCCTTGATACATCTTATCATAGGATCAACCGTCATCAAGCTGGGAGGGCCAAAGAGTAAGTTCCCAGAGCCATGACCGGTTCCCATGTCAACCAGTGTAGTTTTCATTTTTCAAAACCATGCCCAGAGCATTTCTCATATACTAAAAAACTCTAATTCTCTAGTCTCCACGAACAGGGGAGAAATTCAAATCGAGAACCCATGTAATGTTTCGAAAGCAGATTCACAAAAAAGTGAACTTGCTGTAAAACACAAGGTTGTACGAAAAGCAATAGAACAGGAGAGCTCTTAGTTCCTGGGAAAATCAAACAAGGAGATAGACGAGTTACCTTGCTGTCAAACAAAAATAAAAATTATAAAACTACCACCATTATAGAAATTTGTTCTACCAAAGAGAAAGAAGACGAGACCAGACAGCTACCGTGCAAAATCCTTACAAAATAAACGCAAGAAAAGAATACAGCACAACAAATAAACACAAGCCCCCAAAAATTTCTAGACTTTGGTATAGTTCTTTCCTTTCGCTGTTTTGTTTCCTATTAGGAGAGTGAGTTTCAAGCATTTCTTTCCTTCATTTACAAAACGCGCTTTAACTTCTGACCCAACATTTAATTTCACAAATGAAGACCAAATGCTTATAGCCCCAAAAATACATCGGTCCTGTTGAAAATTTCCCATATCTCTGCACAAAAGAAAACGAGTTCATATTCAGTATATATATTACAGGATCATTGGAGAAAAATAGGTGGGCAAAACCATTTAAATAAAATTTGCATATCTAAAGGTTAGTTCAAGTTCTGATAGTTATTAATAAATCCCCTTCAATATGTTCCTCTTAGACTACCCTATGTGTGAAAACTGGGCCTATATGATGATTACCAAATCGAACCTTTTCATATTTGACCCGACTTTTGTTTATCATTTCATCAAATTCTTTTTATACCTTGCTAGTATCATCATTTCACTAACTTCACATAACGAAATTCCAAAATCTTTTAGAGGCAAAACCATTGCTTCCTTGATAATTGATGAACTAAATAGTCAAAGCCAGTCAATGTGATACAAATAAATTCACGTAGTTTGGAAATTTTTTTTCTGTAATAGGATGCTTGATATCTTAAGGCACTAAGGCTGCATTTGGCATTCCTTATTTTAAGGACTTTCTCCTTTTAGCATTTAAAATGCCCCTATGAACGTAAAAAGGAGATAAGTCCATAAAATAAGGAATGCCAAATGCAGCCTAAATCTATTTGGACACAAAAGGTAACTAATAACCAATTATGTATGTTGCATGGTGCAGAAAGTTGATCTCATCTACCTGGCAGTGTTAGACCGGAAGAGCAAAACTAGAACCATTAAAGCAACTCACAAGTCAATATATGCACATATTATAAAACCGCATTTTGATAGTAAAAATATAGCAGATATCATAAAGCCAAAATTCTACCATACAAGATTTTTAACGACTCAATTTTTGGCAAGAGTAAGAAATTCCATTTTTTATTAAATTTCATTTTTTCTACTTTTTCCAAAAAAAATGGACAAAATGAAAAGAAAAAAAAAAACGAAGTACTACATGAAACTGCATATGCAATTTGTGCATTGTGCAAATTTTCAGCTATGCCACAATCTAAGGGAAAAGATGGCATTCAAATTATCTTCTCAAACATAGTAATGCACTTCTAACACTTCGAGTCTCAACTTAACAAAGCCTGGTCCCAACCATATGTGGTTGCTCTATCAAAGTTCAAGGACAATATCCATTACTAAATCATGCACGCTCAGATCATTTCTCCACTCAAAAATGCTCATCTAAACCCTTCAAATTGCTTTGAATAACTTGGTCTTACTAGTGCAGTATGTGGCCTTACTACGCACATTGTCAACCAATCTTAGTCTAGTTTCCATCAATTATCACCTATTGGCAATGTTAAATGAAGTTTCCTTGGTATATGATCTTATCACTTGCTCTTCGCTCAACAAACATAAATGAACATCCGATATACATGATGAAATCTATCTTTTTTCTTATATATAACATTTCTGGGTAACAAATAACCATTCAGATGTACCCCCCATAGTGGTTTAAAAGGTGCACCTGGGTGCAGAGGCTAGGCGCATTTCAGGTTAGGCTCCTCTCCCAGGTCTAAGTGTGCTTACATCATAAAGACGCTCACTTCTGCACCTAGTCATGCACCTCAGGCCAGGTGCCATGCAGCCCAGGCAAGCGCCTTATTTAGGTTTTCAAATTCTTTTCAATTGTTTTATGTTTTGAGTTTTATAGACAACTATTATAATATACGAAAGGCCTTTTCTTTTATTTTCTTCAATTATTTGTATACCATATCATCATCATCATCCATGCTTTATCCCAACTATATGGGGTCGGCTACATGAATCTTGTTTTGCCAATCCGTTCTATTTAAAATCACATCCAGTATTAAATTATTAGTGCTTAAATCATTTCTTACTACTTCTACCCATGTTCTTTTTGGTGTACCCCTAGCGCTTCTAGTCCCTTCCACTTATAACAAATCACTTCTTCTAACTAGAGCTGTTGGTTGTCTTCTACGCACATGACCAAACCGTCTTAGCCTACTCTCTCTCATTTTATCACTTATTGGAGCTACCCCTAGGTTTCTAGAGATGGCTTCCATTTCTGATCCTATCCTTTCTAGTTTTTCCACTCATCCATCTTAGCATTTGCTCTGCCACACTAGTTTTCTTGAACATGTTTCTTGAATGCCCAACACTCTACTCCATACAATATAGCTGGCCTTGCAACTGTTTCATATAATTTTCTTTTTAATCTAAGTGCTATTCTCTATCACACAAAAGTCCAGATGCACCCCTTTATGTTGCCCAATCTGCTCTAGTTCTCTGGGTGACATCCTCATCAATCTCTCCCTTGTTATGAATTAATGAACCAAGGTATTGGAAATGGTCACATTGAGTATCTCTTGGTTTCCAATCCCAAGTGTATCTTGGTTTACACTCTTATTATTAAATTTACATGTAATATACTCTTTTTTGTCCTACTTATTTTAAAGCTTCTTGTTTCCAAGGCATTTGTCCATAAGCTTAATTTTGCATTTAATCCTTCATTAGTTTCATCAATTAAAACAATGTCATCTACAAACAACATGCACCATGAAACTTCTTCCTGAATATGTTTAGTCAATTCATCTATGATAAGTGTAAATATATAAGATCCAAGTGTTGAACCTTGGTGAAGATCCACTGTAAAAAAATTCTGAAATCTTTCCCATTTGTGTTCTAACATTGGTTGTTGCCCCCTCATACATATCCTTAATTAGGTTTATATACCTATTTTGAACCCCTTGCTTTTCCAAGACCCACCATATGATCTCTCTCTCTAGGAACTCAATCAAAGGCCTTTTCTAGATCAATGAACACCATATACTAAACAAAATAACCCAAGCCCAAGCCAATGAAGGCAAACCAGTCACCTTACTTTTTGGATAAGTAAAAAAAATTGCAATATTAATAGCCACAAGAAGTAAACAACACAAGCATCCTACGTACCTCTCGCTTAGACATTAGAAAAGTTAGAAATCAATTACAACTCAGACCAATACAAACTGTCCCTATTTACCCCTTGTTTTTTTTTTTAAATAAGTTAACTGATTTCATTAAAGGAAAGAGTGGTACACAAGAAGGTGTACAAATACAAAGCAGGGGCCAGACCCCTGAGAATTACACAGGAGGAAAATTTTCACAGTACAAGGTCTCCAGAATGACTCCTAATTTTGCTAGACCATCTGCAATGGCATTTAGCTCCCTTGGGATCCAGTATAGAGAAACATTCGTATGAGCCAAAGGTCCCTTGCCTCTGTTAAGAAGTGACTAAGTCTCCAAGGTCCAGCCTCCTGTTGTCCCAACCATCTTATAGTATTTGCTGAGTCACCTTCGATCGAGAAGTTCTGAGTACCCAGTTTGCTGACTAGGCAAATTCCTGTGAGAGCTGCTAATACTTCTGCCTTTGTGGAGTCAGCTATCCCAATCGGTCCACTGTATACCCAGCAGGTGAGTCCATTTTCATCTCTTTGGATTCCCCCTATGGCGGCAGCTCCAGGGTTACCAAAAGCACTTCCATCAAAGCTTAGAGTCCAAGTTCCTTCCCTTCTTATTGGGGGAGAACTCTCAGGGGGAGTGGGATAGAAGGGGAGGAAATCAGAAAGTTATACACATTTCTGTTAAGGTCATTAACATTGATTCCTGTGAACTCCTCTGAGCTGGAAGCCCACAAATTGCAGTAATAAGTGATGTGGTTGATCAGCTCACCCTTAGATTTTATCTTATTTTCAAACAGTCGATTGTTCCTTTCCTCCCAAATTCCCCAGAAAACAGAATCAAGTACTATCAGCCAGTAAGTCTTACCTCTCTTGCTCAGACCTCTTCCTTGCCACTGTGAAATCAGTTCCTGAAGGTGCTTAGGAGCCACCCAACTAACTGTAGGAAGAAGTTCCAGATGTTGCTGGCTACCTGGCAGTGTATAAAGAGGTTGTCAGTTGTCTCTCCCTCACGGAGGCAGAGGATACAGACGTGAGGGGAGATAAAAAGCCTACTTAGGTTTTTCTTCCACATTAGCTCACAAGTGTTTACTCGATGCAAACAAGCCTCCCAAACAAAGAAACTCACACTTGAGGGGACAAACTTGCACCAGATCTTCTTGAAAGGGAAATCACTGCCTCAGTTTCCTGCAACCAGAACTTCGAAGAAAGACTTGGATGAGAACTCACCTCCGGGGTGGGGTTTCCAGACTCAAGAGTCTTGGGAGTTTGGGGAAATGTAGACTTCTCTAAGAGAGAGGAGGAGGTCAGTAAGCTCACTGATCTCCGGTTCCCTTAAGGATCTTCTGAGGTTCAAGTTTATGTTGCTTTCATTGGGAGAATTGGGTAGGCACTGAGAGATGGTTGTACCTTTGTTTAGGGTAAGGTTGTAGAGCCTAGGATCAGATTCTGCTAATATGGAGTGCTCCACCACAGATCCGTCCAGAACATTATTCATGTTCCATTACCCACCCTATATCTTATGAAAGAAAAAAAGAGGTTGTGAATAGAAGAGATACCTTTCCAGGGCTTTGAGGAATCTGATCGGTTTGAGCGGAGATTGCAGTCCCAACCGTTTACATTTAACCCATACTTGCTGGTATCATAACTGCCCAAAGGGAGTTTGATTCAATGGGGAATCTCCACAGCCATTTACCAAGGAAGGCATTATTCTTCTCTTTTGGGTGTCCAATTCCCAGCCCTCCAACCTCTTTTGGTTTACAGACTTGACTCCAATTTACTAGATGCCCTTTTTTTTTATAATCTCGCTTCAAAATTGAATTCATGGAAAACTTCTACTTTATCTTTTTTTTTTTTTATCAATAACACCAGCTTCATTAAATTAAAAGAAAAGAGGGAATATGAATACAAGAGGGGAGATAAAATATCTTAGCTCCCCAATAACAGAATACAAAGAGAAAAAAATTAAAAACTAGCCCAAAAGACAGACTCCCTATTCACCCCTTGCTTGGCCAACCCATCCACAGATGAGTTGGCACTCCTCTTCACCCAGCTGTATTGTATCTCAATGTCCCTACACAGCCATAAGAACTGTTTCTTTTCATTGTTAAAGTTCCACAATCCACTGTCCTCTTTCTTCAACCAGCTA